TTTTATTTTTAAACAAACCTGATTGGTCATGAGATGAATGGTAATTATGGCTTCTTATGAATTACATAAATGTACATTTGTACCTAAACATATGAGGTCCCAATACATAAGCCAATTAGCCAAGTAACATACGTAATCGACATTCCAACTAATTAATCAAAAGTGCACTGACTACATTTGTACGTAGGTACATAACTTTGGAAACATCATTACATCCCCCACAATGATATATCGAAAGTATCTGGGATTATACGACCATGCAGCTAGTGCCGTGCTGGTTTAATTGACGATCAGATCAAACGAGCTGGGAAAGAGAGACGTGGTCTGATCTCTGGCCTGGCGGACCTCTTAAAGCCGCTACGGTGATGGTGATTGAGCGAGGCATGATGGCTCATTATTAAGACTGATGTGGGATCGATGGCTTGAACAGATCTGGCGTGCGAGAAAAAGAAATCTGATTCATGCCACAGTCGGACAACTCGATACAACCCAACAACAAATGCGGAATGTATTTTTACTTTTGCATCCATTGGCGCCCCAAAGTACATTTATTACTTTCTAATCATCAAAATAAAATATAGTAAATTCTAGCAAATCTCATAAGTCATAATGTTCTTTTAGTCCAACTAGGACTTCATGGGTTAAAGATGAATGGTAAATCCTAATCAATCTCATCGCATCCAGGATACCTGTATCTGTCAATTTGACTACTGAAATGGGTCAAATAATTGGTAAACATGTTCAGAGAAAATTTCAACGTGATCCATCATTTAGACTGCAACCCTGGCACCGGAACGGCAATCTTTGGTTTTGATCAATTAATGCTTTCCTTGTAGTCTGTTTGGAGCCAGAAGAGCATCAACTCAGACCATTTTACACATAATTAACACCCCCTTTTGGTTCCAAATAGATAGTATGATGTGATTGATTTCTATCACCAAAAGTACAATGTACCGGTACTGCAAATTTGATTTCCTTACATGTCCACTTCCTGAAACGTGAAGATAATTGACAAAATTTGCATCACATCGGCTGACATTTTCACTCATTTCAAATCAGTGACCTACATGTATATCACAACCTTTTTAAGTTATATAATTTCTATGAAATTGAAAGCAATGAGTGGATATTTTTAAACGACGTATCAGTACGACGACAGAGTGGCTTGCCAGATTATAGGGATAGGATGAACAAGAAGGAAGAGACAAAAAGAGAAAGAGAAAGAGAAAGAGAGAGAGAAAGAAAGAGAAAGAGAGAGAGAGAGAGAGAGAGAGGGGGGGGGGGAACGGGAGGTAGGGGGCGAGAGAGGGCATGCAAGATGTGATATCTCTGGTCCAGTGATGTTGAAAGATGGCAGTGCAGAGGAGCTTGTTTTGATATGTGGAAATATGATTGATGACTTGACCGTGGCTGTGAGAGGTCTGGATTTGTGTGATGCAAGTTCACGGCAGCTTTAATTCAGCTGGTACAAAATTGTACGGAGGAGCATGTGTATGCATACATGTGCATGGCTTGGTAGATTGATGTATACCAGCATCTGTGTGACAGGGGAGATGATAGGGGCAATACTTTGCACCATGCCCTCAAAATAGGATTAAGGGGAAAAGGAGAAAAGTAGGTCAAAGCCCCTCCTCCCAAAACCTTAATATACAAATCAATCAAAATGGGAATACAAAATTATATGAATAAATAATTAAATAAAGAGATAACATAAGGGACCCCCCCCCCCCCCCATCCCTTAATTTTGAATTCACAACAATTATATTAAGCAAGGTGAGTGACGAAAGAGAGACTTTTAAGGAAAGTTTTTATTAACTCCTTTTTTCCTTTAGCTGGTCTTTTTCCTGACCTCTGACAAATCTTTCTTTGCCATTTCCATCTTTATAAGTATTTCAGAATGTATTATCAATCAAATAATTGTATCGAAAATGAACTGACGTTGATCAGAATGAGGAATACTCTGTGAGGATGATAATCAGATGTGTCGGCAGGTGAAATGCGTAACGATTCCCACTTCCCAGGTCTTCGCATTGCACGAGAGGTTATTGATTCTGCTGAGACAATGATCAATAGGGGAAAAGGAATTAAGTACGCCTATTTGGCTATTAGTACCCTAGCCCAAAGACAACCAAAGAAAAGAAAGACAACCCAAAGTAATTTGATCCCAGGTTGCCGATGGTCTTATTGTTTCAGTTGATTAACCAATGGCCAGTTAATACTAACCGTTTCAAAATCATTGTGATGGATCAAATTGTCTGTGAAAGGACGCGAGGTGCGTTTAATTACGCATCTTAGTTTATTGGCCACTAGGGGGAAGCGTCGGGAGCACGTGTCACGGCGGCTTCGTTCCAATTAGCTGGAGGTTGTCGAGGGGAGCAGATTGAGCGTCACGGTTTGTTAAAAAACAGAAGATACCCCAAAGTGTTTCCTGCACACACCTACTAAGTAGCCTGTACCGCATGCTGTAATGAGTGAAGATTGAATTTTATTTGAAGCGCCACGGTCAGATTTCTAGCTGTGTAAAGCAATTACACGGGAGATAAAATGGTGCACAGATTGACTCTGGTTGAATTTGATAAGTGAAGGCTTATTGCTTGCCCATCGGTTGATGCATGCATGCAGTGAACAGTTGAACATCGGTTTGATGGAATGTACTGTATGAAATACAGTAACTACAGGAGCAAGGGGATGCAAGTACAAGATGGGAGGGGGGAGGGGAGGGGCAGAGAGCTAACAATCTTGATTTATCACAATTGTTGTGATTATTGTTATTTGGTTTGAGATGGCACTTTTCCATCTCTCCTACATGTAACTTGTAGATTATTTAAGCCACTCTTCAGAGGATGTTGAGCTGAGTTTTTCACCTGCAAACTTATTTAATTTAAGTCATTTAATACCCTAAAATAAACAATCAAAGACACCAATTGATTCTTGAAGATTATGAAAATGTACAGTCTAAAACTTGGTTTGGTTCAAATATTATTTATGCCGCTCCTCGGAGGCTGTAAAGCTGAAGACAAACAGATGTTTATATTGACATCTTTATTATTTTTCACATGCAAACTTAATTAATTTATATTATTTACTCCCCTGAATTAAATAAACAAACAAACAAAATGATCCAATTGATTCTTGAAGAATTAGATGATATGACAATGTACATACTTAAACTTTGTTTGGTTTAATTAGCATTATAAGTTCGATGTATCATGAAGTACCGTATTTGCCGGCGTATAGGCCGCAGTATTTTTGGAAGAGAAAATATCAAAAAGTCGGGGTGCGGCCTATGCGCCGAAAGAGTAAAAAAAAGTTTGTTTTTTTTTTTTTTTTTTTTTTTTTAGTTTCGATTTATGGCGCTATGCCTGGCAATGTCTCCCAGCTCAGTAATCAGTGTGTTGACTCACCACTCGGAAACTACAACAACACTAAAATTTGACTGTCATCTTGGTTTGAAAGTAATCTTTCTAATAGATCTCAATATGTAGTTTATAATAATAGTTCCTCAAATTTTTTTCTATAACAAATGGTGTACCACAAGGTACACCACTGGTACCATAGGTACTTTATTGTTTTTAATTCACATTAATGATCTTACACATTCTTCTAAAAACGACATTGTTACTATTATTTGTGACAAGTTTACAAGCACAAATCAGCGCCTTTAACTGAACCTCGATGTTAAATGAAGGTCCTTCCACGCGTGGGTTTTCGGCAGCAAAACAACAACAACAAAACCAAAAAAACTTTTTTTGTTTTTGTTTTTGTTTTGTTTTGTTTTTTTTTAAATGTCAAAATCGGGGGTGCGGCCTATGCGGGGGTGCGGCCTTTACGCCGGCAAATACGGTACGTACCAGCTTCTTTAAATGATACACTTAGAGACTTCGGTTGAAAGCACTTTACATGTATAAACACTGTTTTTTTTATTGCTTTTATTATTATTACCCATTGGTAACTAATATTGGTCATGAAAGGGCAGTACCTGAACTTGTGAAATATGATATACTCATCAATCAATTAATCAGTCATAATTAATCATCATGCCTAATTGTACATGTACATGTGATAATGCAGTTGATATGTGTGTGGAGAATCAATTGCTCACACATGTGCATTTGTAACAAAAATAAAGTAAAAATTGAATAAATGAATGATATATACATTGTATCTGTTTAGAGCCAGAAGGGCATTATCAGTGTGAACAAAAGATATCTGTTGACACCCTTCTGCTTCTGACATTGAACAAACAATGTAATGTGCAACTGTATAGCTGCTCTAGATGAATAATCTCTCTTCTATTATACAATAAAGAAATCAATCATATCATCTCATCTGTTTGGAGCTATACATGTTCATGTAGGAGAGTGTTAACCTTATCATATTACACACACTTAACACCATTCTGGCTCCAGACAATATGATAGTGACATGTTTTTTACACAATTCATGGACACGTTTAGTTCATCACTTTGAATGAATGGATTCACTGTTTTTCCGCCAGATGTTCCCATGTTATCTGCATATGTGGGTCGATGATTTTTGTGTGGTTTCAGTTTAAATGCCAAAACACTCAATTTGATGCGAAGCGAGAGTTAAAGGCACGGTAGGATTGTGGATAATCATGAATTAGAATAGGATTATTCACATTATCATTTGGTGAATTAATGCTCTTGAAGTTCAGGTTCATATTCCAAATTCTGAAAATGAGCTAATACGAGTCATGTTGATATATTGTCTGTTTGGAACAACAAGGGTGTTTGTGATCCATAAATACTTTAACACAGAATTAACGGCCTTGTACCTCCAGAGACTCAATATGTTTGAAATGCTGAATATTGTTGTTAGTTCAACAGCTCATGTCTTTGTTGCCTGTCTGCTTTATTTTACTCTAGACTGGTAGAACTGTAGAAATAATCTCTAGTGAATATATGAACATGTGTGTATTTTTGTTCATAATTTTTTTCTATGAAGTACCAATACTTTATGAAGTGATATGTATATCCATGAAGTTTGGTTTGAAATTTAACCATACCCCTCTTATCCTCTCTTCATCTTCAGATGCCTTAGAGCAGCCATTCTTCACCACCAATCCAATCGGCACCACAGTCATCAACTCCAACCGGCACACCATCTCATGCCGGGCCACGGGGACCATGCCCATCGACTACGGCTGGGAGATCAACGACACCGCGATCTACGCACCGGAGTGGTCGTCGAACTCCTACACCTTCACAACGATTGGGAAGAGCAACATCGGGGTGTACAGATGTGTGGCAAGCAATGTTGTGGGTACTGTTATCAGTAGAGGGGCAGAGATTCATGTTGCTTGTAAGTTTGCTTTCTTCAAATGTTTTTGTTTTTCAAAGCAGTATGGACAGAATAAGTAGTATCATTGAAACATTGTATACGACGCAGGGAGGGAACATGAACATGTAAACTAGGTATGGGCAAATTTTGGTTGGGGGACAGATGCCCTGCTTTTATACCCTTGCACTCTCATATTCATGATTTTCTGTTTGCTCATCAGTAAATATGCATTAATATGTGCCTATGGGTATGCTATTAAAACATTCTCACAGCAAAGTAGCCTTACAGGTTTTAGCATTGAATTTGGCTTGTTTGTTAATTAATGCACAGAACAATAAACATATTTATAGGCTGAGCTTTCTTTGAAAACACAACACACAATACTCTTTCACTCATAACCACACAACGATGATATGGATTTGCACATATCTAGCGTGTCGTTTACTTGTAAATATCTATTCAAACAAATTCTTTGTTATCACCAATGCGGAAAGCAATTAACTGTCATGTGTGGTATTTCTGTGTATATGATGGACATTTGTTACCATCAGTATGTTCTCTTTTCATCTCTTCTACCAGATTTTGAAACATACGGCGGTGCTCCACAGACGACAATGGTCAGTGCGGGGGCTGCGAAGATTCTGACCTGCCCTCCCTACGGTAAGATTCCACTTCAAAGAGTGTCTAGCTCATACGTTGAGAGGTTCCCTGAAAAATGAAAACCCCATTTCATTCGCATGATAATACAACAAGGCTTATTCTTTAAAGAAAATTTCTGCCCCCACCCCCCAGCAAACCCATTTCCATCAAACCACTGTTACCACTCCTTCTGTTTATGATTTCAATCTTTTTTTGTGAGCAAGAGATGAAATTATTCTTGAAAGCATGACCCCTCATCATTGTAATTGAAAATTCTAGTCTGTGGATAAATGTTATTTCCTTTTAGAAAAGCATTGCATGTATCCCCTGGCTATTCAATAAAAAGAGAAACGGCCTTCAACAAACGCATGTCCATATCCAATATTGGATAATGAATCTGCTTTGTGCAAACAATAAAACTGATGGTTTTCCACATCCTCTTCTAATTAAACTCTATCTAAATATTGTGAGTAGATCATTCCTCTTCATTTTCCGGTTCCCTGAGTATCTCTTTAAATGTCACCATTGTGTCAATACGTTTTGGGTAAACAGTGAGCGTCTGCATCTATTGAGCGTGAATCATTCCCGAATCGTTGAATGCCTGTGTTTGTTCTTTCGGTCTCGTCCGGACTTTGAACCCTGTTTTTACTTACTTGTTTACAAGATTTTGGTACAAGACTAGCCTAAGCCCAAAACATATTTTGATAATTTGACCATGAATTCAGAGAAGGATTGCAATAAAATGAGATATCATAGAGAAAATTTAAGAAAATATGCAACTTTGCTATTTCACAAAGGGTATTTTGATCTAAAATTGAACACAATGTGAATTTTTATGTATTTTGTATTTTGGAAGCTTTTATCATCACCATTGTTTGAAGTCATAAACATTCGATGTAGACTAGTCTGTCTCTATTCAAATATGTATTCATTTGTTCTCTGCTATGTATCCTTGGGCTGGCATTGCAATAGAATGCAAATGAAGAGAAAGAACTTTTCACAAGTTTGTGTGGGGAATAATCTCTAAATGGAAGACAAATACTCAATTTCTGTCTCGTCTGAGTCAGCGGGGTGGGTCATTGTTTGAGTTTGTTTGGCAGAATAACGGATGATTCCAAGTGGAGTTCATGGAATTATAGTTGAATCGTGATAAAGCACAGCGGATGTAGGATATGTCTTACAGACGTTAAACATTGTAGAAATGATATCAAGTAACTCACAATATTGATGTCCGTCTGAATATAAATCATTTCAAATTAATAATCATTATACACTGTACATTTAGTCTATTGAATAGAATTTGCTTCATATATATTTCTTGATAATTTCAAGTTATAATGAATATAAATGATGATGCTTTCCAGCTTTTGGTGTGTCAGATAAAAGTAGCCCCAATTATTTTACAACTTTTTCCTCTCCTGTTTCATACTCTTGTTCATATTCATGCTTTGTAATGATCTTGACTTCAAATGCTTCATTCTCATTTTTATGCCTCCGCCACCGAAGGTGGTGCCGGAGGCATCATGTTTTCGGGTTGTCCGTCCGTACGTCCGTACGTCCGTACGTCCGTACGTCCGTCCGTACGTTCGTACGTCCGTCCCGTTTGACCGTTATCACAATATCTCAAGAACCATTTAAGATTTAAACTTAAGACTCGGGAATAGTATTTATCACCATAGGAAGACGATCTGATTAGATTTTGGAGTACGTAGGTCAAAGGTCACAGGTCACAGAGGTCAACTTATGAAATTCCTTGTATTGAGTTTGTTAGCGCGATATCTCAAGAACCATTTGAGATTTAAACTTCAAACTTAAGGATAGTATGTATCACCATAGGAAGACGATCTGATTAGATTTTGGAGCACGTATGTCAAAGGTCAAGGGTCACAGAGGTCAACTTATGAAATTCCATACATTGAGATTGTTATCATGATATCTCAAGAACCACTAGAGATTTAAACTTCAAACTTAGTGATAGTGTGTATCACTATAGGAAAACAATCTGATTACATTTTGGAGCAGGTAGGTCAAAGGTCAAGGGTCATAGAGGTCAACTTATGAAATTCCGTACATTGAGATTGTTATCATGATATCTCAAGAACCACTGGAGATGTAAAAACTTCAAACTTAATGATAGTGTGTATCACCATAGGAAGACAATCTGATTAGATTTTGGAGCACGTAGGTCAAAGGTCAAGGGTCACAGAGGTCAACTTATGAAATTCCATACATTGAGATTGTTATCATGATATCTCAAGAACCACTGGAGATTTAAACTCCAAACTTGTTTAAATTGCTCTATGGCGGAGGCATCATTTTCGACTGCGCGCAGTCAAAATTCCATCTAGTTCTTGTAGCTGTCATACTGTATATTCTCCTATCACTCTTTCCTATTCTCCTTCCCATTTTCTCATTACTCACCGGGTTAGTTATGCTTATATGTAAATATATAAATCTATCCCTCTCTGGTATATTATTGCCACTTTTCCCAGTTGAGCACACAACATAGATATTGACACACTCTTATATTTGAAGAAAGAGAGATACTGTTTGATTTCACTTTGTACAAATATGGTTCAGTGAAATTAGGGATCTTTTACTTTTGGGTCTTTTGAGTACATCACCATCCAAAAGAGTCAATTAAAGGTAATACAAAGTTTTGGGAAATTTTGAAAAGAGGCAGGATAGTAATTCTTTACAATTTTGATATACTTGGATGCCCCTGTGGATTTATTATAACCACTAAAAAATTTAGCCCCTGAAACATTTTTACTTTCGAGAAAAATTGAATATAAAAATTTACCGGTGCTCCCGGTAAATGTTGATAAATTTCAAATAGCGCTTACGGCCATACAATGATAGCTGCGACCATGAAAATCTCAGCATATGTAGTTGTGATATGTCATTTCCAAACGGAAATAGCCGATTGGTCAATTTTAATCAAGAAACATTGTTTTATGGCTTAATTAATATCTTGACCTTGAGAGGGAGCTATACAACATAAAGTGTTTATTATTTACAATTTCATAACTTAAGACTCAATTTCAACCGCAACAATGATCACTGAATATTGTAGGATCGCATATATGCTTCCAATATGTTCATTTGAACCAAATTCATGACCCCATACCAAAACTTTGTATTACCTTTAAGGATGAAACACACTTTTTTTGTGGTAATGTGAGCTGGCCCAACAGTCGACTTTCATGCATGTCGAAGAAGAGAACTAATAGCTTTTTGTTGCTTTTAAATTTCAACATTGCAGACAGTTACCCAATCCCGACTGTAACCTGGCAGTTCAACGGGACCGACATCATACTGGGTTCAGACCAGCTGGTGACTGCAGACCAGCGACTGGTCCTACTCCAAGCCACTGACCAGCGCCAGGGCTCGTACACCTGTAACGCCAACAACAACGTCTATGGATACACGCAGACCAGCCCTAGTGTGATGCTAACTGTTCAAGGTGAGTACAGTGTACATATTTATATCAGTTGACAACAGCAGACCTGCCAACCAGTACGATTTAATCGTATTTTGTACGAGTTTTAGAAGTAAATACGACAGTAGGATTCTCCTCAATGGTTTTGGGTGCCATTTTCAAAGGCAAAATGCCGATTCTGTCCTGTAAAGTATCCTACTGGCAACTCACATCAGCAATTTGGGGATGTTCATTGGATCATCGAACACACCAGTCATGACAAAATCATGCATATTCAAGCAATGATCTGTAAAAAAAATTCTTCCCGTATGCAGGAACTGTAAGAGTCATTGACAGGCCTGATAAAAACCTGATTTAAATCGGTTTCCAGATTTTTTTTATAGTTTTCCTGATTTAAAAAAAAAAAGAAATTTACCATTTTTTTTTCTTCCATATTTTATCCTGATTTTCCTGATTTCCCTCTTATTTTCTGTATTCTTCCCTATTTTGCCCTATCTTTTTCCCAATTTTGTCCCAATTTTCTTACTCGAAAGGAGGGAATGTTGTTAGATGCCATTTTTTCCCTGCCAATCCTCTTTTTCTTTTTCTTTTAATCAAGGGGGGCGTGGTTGAGGGGAAAACAAAAAAAACTTTTTTTTTTTTAGTGCTCACTATCACCCCTGCATTGATCTGTGTGTTTTTTTTAAATAAAATTTTTGCCAGTAAAATGCAACTTTTGGGAATACAGTTTTTGAACTCCAGAGTTTGGCAGGTCTGCAACAAGAAGGGTGTTCACTCGTATACTTTTACTTACATGTAGACAAATGCCCTTTTGGCTCTTAACCTTAAGGAAGCCAGAGCATTTGTCATGGAAGTTACATAAGGAAGATTGGACCGTTTAGAAGATGTTGCCATTACAAACAGCAGCTCCAGCAAACCCTGTAACACGTTTATTTCAAAACTTGTGTTACAGCTAGAACTCAATGCTGCCTTTAAACTACACATGCTTAGTAATACAAAGACTAGGGGCATGTTTCACTAAGTTGAACTTATCTCTAAGTTGGACTTAAAAAAATTATGGAGAGCCATTTGTAGATAAATATATTCAAAAGCAAAATTTCAAGTATTTTTAGACTTTAAAACTATTCCACATCAAGAACATGAAATGTCCTTTATAATAGAAAATATGAATGATTTGAATCAACATTTTATGCCTTTTAAAACAACTTTTACAAAATATTTTCATAGATGCTAACGGCTTTCCATGATTGTTAAGTCCAACTCAGAGATGAGTCCAACTAAGGATCTTTGTGAAACCCCCCCCCCCCCCCAGGGTCTCTGAATAGTATCTGAATAGGATAAATGTGCCATCATATAACTGCTTACATTACATTATCATTCTTTGATATTGTCATGCATCTCTCCAAGAGGGAGAGTGACCATTTTGAGAGGATATCGTTGCCAGGAACCATGTTTCTCCCAGGATATCCTTACAAAGAAACCAAATCAGTTCCACATGGCGTAGGAGTATCTATCATGTTCAGAGATTATGTGCAGATCGAGTGCAGCGATTAGTAAGAGTGCAAAGCCCTACGTATGTTCTGAGATGAAGTCCTCATGTTTGGAGCCAGAAGGGCGCTGGATCATGTGTATTTTTTACACAGAGTTAATGCCTAGATCTGTTGCTCAATGGGTGATATTGGGTTCATGTGAAGAGATTATGTGTAGATCGAGTGCAGCGATTAGTAAGAGTGCAAAGCCCTACGTATGCTCCGAGATGATATCCTGGGGTTTGGAGCTAGAAGGGCATTGAATCATATATATTTTTTACACAGAGTTAATGCCTTTCTGTAGAGTGCAGCGATTAGTAAGAGTGCAAAGCCCTACGTATGCTCTGAGATGAAATCCTGGGGTTTGGAGCTACAAGGGCGTTGGATCATGTGTATTTTTTACAAAGAGTTAATGCCTTTCTGTAGAGTGCTTCGATTAGTAAGAATGCAAAGCCCTACGTATGCTCTGAGATGAAATCCCCGGGTTTGGAGCCAGAAGGGCGCTGGATCATTTATATGTTCAACACAGCATTAATGCCTTTTTGTTGCTCAACATATGATATTGGGGTCATGCTGTCTGCCTGTCTATCAAACTTATTGGCACTTGTGAGGCTTCTCTCCTCACACAACGATTAATCCTCCTCTCAGACCGGATTATTGCAATGTATCTGCCCCCATGGTTGAACTATTTCCCAGTCATCGTAAATGAAACATGTACTACACATGCTCGCATACATTTAAAACTTGTATCACATGAAGTCCTAACCATCAAAGTTGTTAATGTTTAAAGAAAGTCAAAGCTGGGACATAAAATGAAAATGTTTCTGCGTAAATTATGCTATATAAAGGTGAAACTTTGTAGCAAAACAGAAACAAGCTACAACATTTCCAGTTTGATAAAGACTATTCAATTTTTCTCTTAGACATTTTCTTTTTATATATATACAAAGAAACATTTGATGCTAACATATAAAGCTAACAAGAATTGGTACTTACGAGCAAAACAAACATAACCTTTCAAATCTGTTAAACACTTGTTCATACTTTTTTAGTCATTCTCTCTTTCATTCTCAGAAAATTGACATTGATTTATGTACCCCAAAACAGGTCTTAAGTTATTATTGGCACAGCAAAGCAGAACAAAATCTTTCAAACTTAATTTCGTAAACACGCTTCTACTATTTTTCCTCCATTTTCTATGTCATTCTCAGGTACCTTCACGCCCCCTGCATTCATCGCACCCACTCTCGTCCTCCCACCCAGTAGTACAGTCGTCAGGCCAGGACAGTCCTTTGTACAGATGGAATGCATCATCAGTGCCCAGTAAGTGTGTGAATGCATGTTACTCTTAAATGGGAGATATTACTCTTAAAGGGGAGATATTACTCTTAAAGGGGAGATGTTACTCTGAAAGTGGGGGTATTGCTCTTAAAGGGGAGATATTACTTTTAAATGGTAGATATTACTCTTAAAGGGGAGATATTACTCTTATTAAAGGGGAGATTTTACTTTTAAAGGGGAGATATTACTCTTAAAGGTAAAGACCAGTATTGGAAACGCCCCAATTTCAAAAAATGAAATGGAAGCTCTTATTACCAATCATGTGAAAAAATATGTTTTGAATATAACATGATGATAAAAATTTTGACGGGAAACCGCCTACTAATTGATATATTTGGTAAATTAGTGTATCTCTCGCCTGTTGAGATATATGAAATGCACGTGTCGTGCATGTGTGTGTAGTCCCATATACATCTTCTGTGTACAGTGCTTCTAACTTTATGAAGACTTGGCCAAATTTCTTATCATTTTGATGATTCCAGAACCTTGCAGTACATATATACTAGATGATCAACCTCTTCAAATCGATTTCACAACGTTTCTTTCACAATGCAATTGCATGACCACAACTGGTCTTTAGCTTTAAAGGGGAGATATATTACTCTTAAAGGGGAGATATTACTCTTAATATATCTTAAATCAATTACAACTTAAAAATGTGTAACTTTTCCTATCATGTATCAGAAATTTATCCAACTATCAGTGATCTATACTTAGCATCATTGGATTCGTTCTAACGTTGGGATGGACTTTCCCTTTAAGCTTTCCACATCAGTACTGTAGAGTGGGAGATGATTGATTCTTGCATAAAGAATTGAAAATTGAAATTGAGGCAATTTTCATTATATACAGTAGTCAATAGTCATGGTGATTTGGAGGAGGAGTGGCATTTAAATTGGGTGTTCCTTGCACTGAGCATCGCACTGCATCCATCATAGATTCATTGTATTCAATTGGAAGCAATTTTCTCAAGGAATGCATTCAGGGATGATGGCCAGGCCGGCATATCAATATGAAATTTGAAATTATTTCCATTAGCATATCGTTTCTTTTAGTTTACTGATGTGTTTACCAATCCCCTAGAAATCTCTTATTAGGCCTGTCATCATCAGGCTGAAGTTACAAAATAAATTGGTCAAGAAAATATCCCAAGAAATCTTTGTGTTTTTTCCAAAATAGCCCGCTATATGGGAAATAGTAGGCTAATTGGCGCCCGTCCCGAGCTATATGTAGTTTATGATGAGCGTATCGGACTGGTGAAAATGCAATTTTGAGCTTCGGGAAAATATCACGAATCTGAAAGTGCCGGGTTCTTTTGCAACTTTGGTCTGATGAAGACAGGCCTATTGAGTTGAGAGCCAGAAGGGCATTGACTCTGTATTAAATGAAATGAGTTAGTGCCCATCTGTCTCTGAACAGATCAAATCTTCTTTGACTTTCCCTTCATTATACGTGTACTTGTTTTCTGTCAGGTCCTGTTACAAATGACATCATTAAAATAGTTGATTTTTTTCACATTATTGGCTGTACCAGGCCTAATAATTACCCAATTTAAAATCGGTATTGCGTCTGTATTAAATGAAATGATTTAGCGCCCACCTGGCTCTGAGAAGATAACATCTTTTTTGACTTTCCCTGTCAGTATACATGTGCTTGTTTTCTGTCAGGGCTGGTTACTCTGTCTGCTATTTCTGGCTGTATACTCTGTACAATTCCAATATTTCATTTTTTTTTTTAATGTAAATTTTTAAATTTCCAACAAAATACAATGCATTTTAACGAATACAATGTAAAATGCATACAAAACATAGTTACATTTGTAATTTGTAAACAAATCTTAACAGTAATTTATACATTTGAGGAAGACAAAACTTAAATTATAAATTCAACTGCATTCATATTTTGAGGAAATGGAGAGGTCCACTGAAAAGCAGAGCTTGTAAATTGTGGACCCCTCGGATAATAATGAGTGTGAAAAGACTATAGAGTACATAAACAACCAGTCTTTTGATGTAATTTGTGATCCTAAAAAACACTTTCCCCATTTGTCCCATCTTTCTTCACAGTCCTTTGAGCTCTCTCCAGATCTCCTGGCAGAAGGACGGAGAGGGGTTGGACGCCACGGGGGCCATCTTGAAGATCTTTAACCCCACCGAGGCCAACGCGGGTACCTACAGGTGCATCGGTGACCTGGCGGGCTCGGGGATGCCAGCCGTAGAGGCGTCGGCAAACCTCACCATGTACAGTAAGTCACAAAATGCATTTTTATTATCAAAAGGAATCACATATTTCAGAGATTGCCTGCAGAAGTTTTTAGTTCATATCACGTTTTCTTCTTTTTGTTTGTGTTCGTCCGTCGTCTCGGTTTCTGTTTAGTACATTTCCCCTGTTTCTGCTGGGAGTGAAAGAGCTTTTTAGTATTAGAAAGAATCACATATTTCAGAGATTGCCTGCAGAACTTTTTAGAATTTATTATATGTTTTCTCCTTTTTGTTTTGTGTTTGTCCGTTTTCTCAGTTATTGTATCGTACATTTCACCCTCTTCTGCTAGGAGTGAAAGAGTTTTGTGTGTGTATTTTTGTTTGTTTGTCTGTATGTATCTAATTGGCATGTATGAGTGCTAGTAATTACAGTTGTAATGGATATAGGAGAAAAGTAAATTAGTTCAGACGTGTCATCTTTTAAGCCGATTGAGATCATACTACATTATTTGGGATCACTTATTTTCTTGCAATGCTAGAAATAGAAGTCAAATTTATATCTTTAACTTAAGATATTTCCGGAGAGACTTACAATATATCCAGGGATAGACTAGATTGATGAAGATAACGACCTATAGCGTAGTGACACTGTTGGTTTTTCTTCATGCTAGACAAACAAATCATATACCTCTCCAGGAGAAACATCCCTCTCAAGGTGTAAACAGATCCATTTGGGTAGCAGTCCTGTCCCCATAGCTCAAAATGTTAAGTCTGGCGATGTACGCCCCCACCCTAGGCACTCGAAAGGTTCTATTGCTTGAAAGAAGAGAATACGATAGGTTAGGTCAGCATAATAATGATGAGGGAACATTTTCAGAAACTACTCAGAAAGATATTTCCCCTTTTTTCAGTTCATCTACATGTCTCAAGGTGAAATGTACATTGTAGGTTCCATAGTTTTGTAGAGAAACAATTTCTATGCAAAATTGTCAGTATAATTATACCAATTGCGATGGTAGGAATACAATGTATGAAGTCATAAATCTTCCTTGTAACATTTGTCTATACATGTAGTTTGATACCTCCAACAAATGGAATTCATCGTTTTAAGTTAAACGCAAATGCAGAAATTATCTAAATTAGTTTTCAATAATGTTGTCCCTGATCCTAATGAACGTTGAATAGTCTTAAATGGCAGTGGGAACGAGCATAAACATTGAGACAGGAATCTGGCAGACCTTGTCGAGCAAGACATGTGTGCAAAGACTGTTGACATGTTTTAGCCTGCACAGATTACACCGCGCTAATGATGGCTGTCACAGTGCCTGAGCTGGATACTTGGTCACCAGTCCACCACTAAGCGTGAGTGGAGGAGGCATTGGTAGGAAGAATGTTGGATGAGGATGAGAGGAAGGGAAGGGTGATGGAAATTGAAGGGTTGACTAGAGTAGAGGAAAGTGGGATGGGTGGATGGATGGAGGGAGGGAGGGAGGGAGGGAGGGAGGGAGGGAGGGAGGGAGGGAGGGAGGGAGGGAAGATTTAGAGAGCTGGATAGAATGCAATATATAAAGGTTTAGACTAGACATGGGTATACCAACAGATACAGAGAAAGCAAGACACAAAAGGAGAGAAAGAGAGAGAAAGAGAAGGGCAAATCGGGGGGGGGGGAGGATTCAAAGGAGGGATATAATTGGGAAGGTGCCAAAGCAGGGGATATAGGGGTGGTTGTCAGAAACAGAATCAAGAAAATATGAAAATAATTCCAAAACTGGTCAATAAAACAAACAATATTTTCATATTTAGAGGCATGACCATTTTGAATTAGTTCTAATTCAAGTACATTTCTCCATTTCCTTTGCAGGATACAATGTCATTTAGGTACTCAAGAATTTACTAGCAATTAGTGAAACGTAAAACTTATAGGTTAACCATAAACACCAAGGTGCATCCTTGTCAGGGCAGTCCCCTTTGATATCAAATTTAATATAAAAGGATTTCACTCAATTAAATGGGATTTTCGATATGGCTCTCCCAAAACAGCTGTCGGGGCAGTGATTTACACCTTACTTAGTCCAAACGGTGACTCACGCTCCAGAAAGTAGCATTCGGGGTAAACCCTGGCAGTTTGTATATTTTCACGATTAGTCAGATTTGTACCACACCACCACCGCTAAAAGCAGGACAGTCTGTTTATGTAACATGATCCCGATGTATATGCAGGTCCATTTGTTAGATTGAATCGGAATCTCTTTAAAAGGCCATGCGTGAAATTGAGTAGGTGGGGCAGTAGAAAATTGTCTTGAGCTTGAACTTCAATCAAGTGGGTGTTTTCAATTACTTAAAATTAGACCTGAAAAGTTATTTTTATCAAAGTTTTGTAAATAGAAGCGGCTCTTGTTTCTAGAGATATGATCTTTTAAAAACTTGTGATAAATAGTACAATGCCTGCGATTATACCATACTTGTGTAGACAAATTTATTGAAAATTGAACAAATAATATTTAATTGTAGAGAATGAAAAACAAACCTCATTATAAGATGGGAGAGGGAGAGGTTTATGAGTTTCTATTTCCTAGTCTTGTGCCTTTTACAATAAAGCTGATGAAATATTTTACAATTATTCTAAAGAGTATTAAAGTATTATTGAGTCATACATGCAGATAAAAAAATCATAGAATATATGATGCCAAACAAGCAAATAAATTTCACTTTTTGTATCCAAATTCATACTTACTAAGTTACTAGGGTCATAAAGAATTTTTTTTCTGAAGAAATATAATTTGATGCTGTATATAGGCATGATTAAACGAATAATAAATGTAGGTAAAGGAATTTACAACATGGAATTGTAAATTGTTGAATTAGTGTCTCTTTGAATGATACTCTGAAGGAAACAATAAGGTAACAAAGACAAATACCCAAGAACGTTTTAAATTACAGAGTTAAACTAAATAGTTCATTTTTATTGGAAATGTACTCTGCTGTTTAAGAAACAAGAAAGTTTGCCCTGGATTATAGCTGTTTGTTTCGTAAGGTAAAAAAAAAGGTTTTAAACCATCCGATAAGCTGTTTAAATCTAATTTGAGTTTACAGAATATTGATAGTATGAGAGTGTATAGGTCAAAGGTCAGCAATAAGATTGCATGACATCCTGTTCATGTGCACAGCATCGATAAACTCTAGCCCCCAGAGCGACACGCGGAAGATTTTCATCGGCAAAAACATCCCTCTTTATGTTATATCCCTATGGAGACAGGTGTAGTCCCACAAACATACTTTGGGGTTAGGAAAACACAGTTCCGCGAGTGTGATGGCGTGCCGACCAACGCTCTTGTCCACACCCTGGCGATAACAGGTCTGTTTGGGAGGGGCGATTCGAAATGGGAGCCTAATAAGAGGTGGTTGCCAGAGTATTAGGTTCTGTTTTCATTCGGGGGAGAAGGGTAGGTTTTAATCATGTCCCCTCGAAAAGAAAGAAAGAAGTGGAGAAGAGAAAGAAACTCATGAAAAAGAGGAAGCAATTTGTAAGGAAGGGGGCGGGAGAGGGAAGGAGTGGGCAGATAGAGAAGGAAAGTTTTAATTATCGTGGAAGAGTACAAGAAGATATTTGATACCTTCAGAGTTGTGACGATATCGATTTTGTTTGGACAGTGCACTGCCATCGGGAAGCAAACGTTGTGAAAGATATTGCCTTTGGATTTAGGAAAGAGCTAGTAATTCTCTATCATTACAGAGACGAAGACTTGCCAATGAATTGTCTAATACAATTTGATAGGTCATGTGAAGTTGCATAGGGAACTTGAGTTCTAGACACTAGTGCTTGTCAAGCTTTGTTCCTAGGAGCTTTAAGGATAAGTTGAAACTTTGAAATGCACTTTTTGAATAAATCATACAGAGTATTTGAATAAGGGTAAGAAAATAAAAAAAGACTTATTAACTTATGATAATTATGGTGAATGAAGCTCCTTCATCATGAGGGAATGAATGAAGAACATTATTCATGGATGCACAGGAATAATAATTAATTAAGATTATGATAATTGGGTCTATCATGACACCTCCCTATATAAACAGATTTGTTTCCAAAGCACAAGGATCATTTTCCTACCTGAATGTCTGTCGTTTTTAATTAAAAACTTATCATCTTGCTATTTCCAATAAAAAAAAATGTAATTATGTTCATTTTTTGTTCAAATTTACATCTGTACAAAGTGCCAAGGTTAATATTTCATCTGCCCATGCAGGACGTGACAGGATTAAAGTTTTAGGTGTGCATTTTATGATACCACTTTATCAAACCCAAACAACGAAACACACTCTTGTGTCTATGGGCGATTGTTTATATCTTCCTAGTACCCCAAAGGCATTTCACTTTCGCTTCTGTTCATCTTCAACGGCTCGCTGATTCCAGAGTACATCACTCTGGAGAGCAAGAACCTGCTGTTTACGGCATTAAAATATCAACGCACAGGCCCACATTCACGGCTCAGGGCATATATGCATCCATATCTGCAAGCACATACCCGACCTGGCAAATGATTACTAAACCGTATGTGTACCCAAATGGAATGTCCCGCTGGTGAAATTGACTTTTGCCACTTAATCGCTCTTTCAGGCTTTTCGCGGGGGTAATTTTAGTTGTGGGGGTCTCCTTTTGCGCAAGTGCTTTTACAAGATTTTGCACAACAAATTTGTAAGGGTATGCATGATACGGACCAATAATGTATCGCTCTTCGTCATGTTAATTGTGTATGCTTGTGAATGGTGCGTCTGTATGACCAGCATGTGTTTAAGTCATTTTCTTGTATTTTCTTGTTATTGTCATTTGTCACTGATATATATGTTTTTAATGATATTGTTGCTTTGCATGTTAGTCTCTCCTATAGTCCTCATTTTCTTTGTCAGTTTGTGTATTCAAACTTCACACGAGCTGTGATATCTTTTTCTTCCTCCATTTGCCAGTATTGTTCAACATCTCTTCAGAAGAAAACAAAAATTAAACATATATTCCCAATTGCACAGCACTATGGCATTTTCACTTTAT